TTTGACATAACACAAAATTTTAAAACTTGCACAAACACTTTCCAATTTTTTGTGCATAATCAACTAGGCAAATGCTCTAACTTTGCCTAAATGATCACATCGTAAATTGAAAAACAAGAGAATAAAAAATAATCTTAAAGTTGAATATTGAAAACTTCAGTACACAGCCCTTGTGCATTTGTTCATTGAAAACTTTAGATTTTCAAATCAGAATAAAAAATATGAACTATCACCAATTGTCCATTTGGTGTTATTATTCTCTCAGAATAGCATATGATCTTCATTTTCATCAAAATAGAATATAGATTTTCAGTAGTTTACTGTAAAAAAAAAATTGTCAAATACTGTATGGCATTTGAAATATGTGCCAAATTTAGACCCCAAAAAATTATAACTCCAAACATATAGGGTTTATGAAAAATCCATTCTGAAGGGATTGTAGAACACACAGCTGAGCACACGGGTGGTGTAAGGAGGCAGCAGACAAGTTCGCTTCAGCCCAAAAAGAAAAATTAAATGCAGATGAGAAATCCATGGTTTAATCAGAGATGTAAGCTAGTAAAGCTCATGTCTCTAGTAAGTAAAAGGACGTGGAGAAACTATAGAAACAACAGAACACTAGAGAGGAGAGAAAGATACCAGAGTGCCAGAAATGAATACGTCAGGGTGAGAAGAAAGGTAGAGAGGCAATACGAAAATGACATAGCAAGCAAGGCAAAGACTCAACCCAAACTGATGCATAGCCACATCAGGAGGGAAAACAACAGTGAAGGAACAAGTAATGAAACTAAGGATAGGGGCAGAAAGATTCACTACAAACAACAAGGAAGTGTGCAAGGAACTCAATAAGAAATTCCAGGTCTTCACCTTAGAACAATGACAAGTCCCAGAAATAAGAGCGGGAATATCAAACAAGACACCACTAGAGGAGTTTGTGATTACCAGTGGGGAGATGAGGAAGCATCTGCTAGATTTGGATGTGACAAAGGCTATAGACCCAGATGGAATCTCACCATGGATTCTAAACGAAGGAGCCGAAGCTCTGTGCCTGCCACTCTCCATGGTGTACAACAAATCACTGGTAACAGGTGAACTGCCAAAAATTTGGAAGACGGCCAATGTACTCTAAATATACAAGGAGGGTGATAGGCAGGAGGCAATGAACTACAAGCCAGTGTCCCTAACTTGCATTCCATGCACGAAGATGGAGAAGATTGTGCAAAAAAAGCTGGTAGAACATCTGGAGCGAAAGAACTTTGTAACACAACATTAACATGGGTTCAGAGATGGCAAATTATGCCTAACGGGTTTAATTGAGTTCTATGACCAGGCAATAAAAATTAGGCAAGAGAGAGAGAGAGAGAGAGCTGGGCAGACTGCATATTTCTGGACTGCCAGAAAGCCTTCGACACAGTACCACATAAAGAGACCAGTGCACAAACTGGAGATGCAGGCAGGAGTGAAAGGGAAGGGACACCAGGTGTACCTGGCGTCTCGCCTCAGGAAAAGATAAATGATAGTGATGTTTCAAATTGAGGATGGCTTCGTCAAATTTGTAGGCACACATGCGTGGGAGAAGGCAGGGTGGGCATCTGTGCAATTGATGGAGCGAGCTTGGGAAGAAGAAAACAATGTCTTAGAATGACCCTGAGTCTCCACATAATGGGCATAGAGACTCTGCACTCATGCATTTGGAGGGACCATGCCCAAATCTCCAGCACTTAATGAAGAAGTGAGGAGAGGGACTGTACTCCTGAACAGAGCATCTGGCACCAGCAAGAATTATGGAAGGGACCTACTATCAAAAGTGATCGTCACTATGCTTAGAGGCTGACAACGACCACCATGAGGGGGTTGAGTGAACGTATCAATCTTGGAAGACAGAATGACCTTGGGCCTCGAGGATGTTTAATATCCTCATGATAGTCTTTCAGTTCCCTATCACCAGTAGCAACTTGTTGCGGGAGAATAACTGTGCCAATGCTGGCATTTAACCAGGCATTTTTGGAGATCTGAACAGGGGTCTTCCCCAAAGCAGGACAACAAGGCTAAGCAGTCAGCCACTGCCTAAGAAGTTGCTGCAACAACAAGTGTACCAGGATGGGTAGGGTTAAAAGTGACAAAGGTATCCACCGAATTAACTAGGTGCTTTTGGATGAATATATCATCAGGACATGTAGAATCAACATGATTGAGATCAAAATACTTTGCCCACATAGCAGGACTAACCAAAGCCTGGAATGTATTAAACACGTGCAGGAATCATACGAGTGCAGAGGAGACGGCGCCGAGCACCTCCAATAAGAGAGGGGGGTAAAAGGCCCAGTTTTTACAATGAGAGATAGAACCAGTTCAAGGGATGAGATGGTCACCATTAGGGGCTTGGGGTTCAACCCTGCCACAGAGGTGGGAGGGAGAGTCAGAGAAGCAGCCTGGTCTGGGCCCAACGTAGCGGGGACTACAGAGCCTGGTCTTCCATCACAGTCCGACTCGGGAGCCTGGTCGCCCACCCCACGAGTCTGAGAAATTAAATGAGGGTCAGAGAATGGCATGAAAACGTACAGGTAAAAAGTTCGTCCACGAATAAACCCTAATATCCACCATGGAGCCACAATTAAAGGATAGCACACCTGACAAGATGCCACCCCCCCCCCCAGGGATTCATCAAAGATATTTCACCCTGTAATCACCACCTTAAGAACTGTCATATCCGTCGAGAATGGGCTCAGCAATGAAGGCAGAGTTTGACAATAAAAGCATCCCTTCGCTCGACAATGTCAGGTACTACAGTTCTACGAGTGTGTGTGTGCCTCCCCAAACACCTGGCGTCAAAACAAAAGAAAACATAGGAAAGAATATATATTCAAGAATGGCAAAATGTCAGCAGGAGGGGAACCAATCAGAAAGAAGAGGTGGAGAGGAGAAATGAAACATGAGGAAGAGGAAAAAAGCAAATAGCAAAATTTGTGAAGACAGCAGCAGGAGCATAAGGCTTCAAAAGAAGAGAGAACAAGCTGTCCCATGGAGTATCACACTCCGGAAGCCGCCCACCAAGCCCCATCACAATGGCAAAGGGCTTCTCCATAAGCCCGTTGCAAAAAGCTACACGAGTAATGTATGAGGAAGCTGTTGGAGAACGATTTGTGATGTATCTCTTGAATAATGGCAACGATATCGGGGTGACCTGAAGCCAATTGGGTGGTCGTAGCCTGAGCACCCACGGTGTGTGAATCCTTTAAGAGGATCATTTGGGCAGGTGTTCCCGATTGGCACCTGTTCCGTGATCCCTCACACTCAAGTCAGGACTGAAAGGAGCCAATTAGTGACAGTCAAAGAAAAATTTGGAGGCGGCCTGGCAAAACGCCATAGTTGGGCAGCATCATGTCAACCTTTTGTGGTAAGAACCTAATATACTGTCGTGTATTGCTTGTTGCAGAAAGATAGTGTGCCCAACGATCTTGTAGAGCATTTTTATGAATGTCCGTCGAATGTAGATTAAAAAGTTTGTGGAAATAATGAGATGATATAATGAGTTTGAAGTGAGTTGGCATTATGAAGGCATGAGTGACATACGTTCTCACGGCCAGTGGATGACAGGAAAGGAAGCCCCCCTCCCCCTGGCAGAAGGAGATTTCGCTGTCGACTCACCCAGGCAGGGTAGGATCCCTGCAGAACAGACTAGCGCACGGAATGGGACATTGTAAGGCGAGATATGTTTTGTAAATATTATTATGTTTTGATGGAAAATATATTGATAGTTTTGTGGTCTTGGGATTATAGGTTCATATGGTAGACGTTCATGTATGGTGGACATTCATGTAAGGTGGACGTTCAATGTGTGATAAATGTGGTGCGTCCAGTTGATGAAGCAGTGGTACTTTGTAGATGCAATTCATCAGTAATTGATGTAGCAGCGATATTGAAGAAGCTGCAAGAGGACCTACTGAACTTGAGGACCCGCTGATGGATGGTCCCAGTAGCAATAGACAGAAAGATCAATCACCATAGAGTAGACTTCTTGTGTAACGAGAGTGGCTGATCTTACGGACGTGATACAGAAGGTTGTGTGGACATCATTATAGGTTTGAGTGGTGGATGGATTCATGTAGTATACCTGACGCGATGCAAAGTGAGAGCGCTTATGTATTTTTATTGTGTTAAATTACATGTACAAAGCCTATCCCAGACGACGAGGTGACTGATGCACAGCAGGGTTACTAGAGAGGATCAAGCAGCAGCCTAGCAGAGACAATTTGTTGGAACACTGATATTATACAAGCATGATGCTAGTTTGCAGGACCATTACGTAATGATACCATGCTATTATTTGTATTCTTTGTTGCTTGTAATAAATGTTTGTCAGTTAGACAAATGTGTTTGCCCTAGTCCTGGTGAGGATTTCTAAGAGGAAAGAGAAAGAAATAATTGCAGGCTGGATGACAACATACAGAAAACAAAAAGGGGAACTAAAAGGTCACCCTAAAACAAGGAGAGAGAGGGTAAGTCATAGTGGCTCAGTTAGGGTGTGTGTACTCATGACAATAGGCCAGTTCTGAGCCGAATCCCCAATAGGATGACGTTGAGCCCCTTCTCGATATTTAAGTTCGTTACCGGGCGACTCTCAGGTGTGTGTTCACTGTTGGTGTTAGTAGTAGAGGTGGTGGAGAGAGTAGTGGCAATTTTTATTTTATTTTATTTTATCAGTGGCTCCCTGACGAGGTGAAAGCCCAGGATAAAATTGGGTGACACCTGAGAGATAGTAAGGAAACCCCTGATATTAGCCAGTATATTAGTAAATGCATCATTTATGAATTATTGGTATATTATATTTCACAGTAATTTTCTAAAATGAGATCTGTAATACCCATGTCAAGTAAGTTATACAGCAATTAAGTACAGGTATTTTATTTAGTGTTACCCATCAGATATAATTTAAAAAAATTGCCAATAATAAACTTTTGTAATAAATTTAGCTATAACATGGAAATAAATAAATGATAAGAGATTTTAGTTTTAATGATAATATAGTATAAAAGACCAAACATATCTATGTCCAAGATAATTATAGAGAAAAATTTGTACAGTACAAAAACACACAGAATTTATAAACACCGTTACACAACACTGAAGTCACTCTCATGAAAACAATGCCAGAATAAGTAATTATACCACATGTACAACAAAATTTATGTACATTGTGCCATACATCATGTTATGACAGGATACACTTTATTTTTAATGAAATATATAATTTACAGCACTAACATGGAATACCATATTGTGCTCCATAACTATCTACAAAGCTATTCTGAAATCATTCCTACTTCTTGTGAGGTCGTCAAAGGATCACTTGAGACGGACAGATTTGGTTCAGACGACTTGTGGCCCTCAATTACTTCAAGCAAGTCTGCTGGTATATGAGCTTTCTGTGAAAACAAGATATGCATCTATGACAAAGTCAAACAAAGGAAAACTTTAAATTATAAAGAATTTATAGATTAAAATAAAGATAATCAATTTATTGTTATGATTACATGAATATTGGTTTTATATCATTGAAATGTGTAAGGTTTGCTTATTTTTCATATACTGTATGAGCTCGATTGTTTGGATTCTGCTAAACCGGATACTGAGGTCATTTGGACAAAATTTGCATCCAGATAATTTTATGTCCATATCCGGATGAATGTTCATAGAATCTGGATGACCAGAAATCGTGGTCAAAAAAGTGAAACCAGAAGTTCTACTGAACTTACTTGGTTTACTTGGAACAAATAATAATATTTGAACAGTACTTGGTTGGATATTTATTCATTTAAATATTTACTAGAAAATAAAATGGGTTTTACCACAATTTAAGGTGCATATTATGTTATATCATCCTACAGCAGGTGTTGACACTCGTGGGCAAGTTGGGAAGGGCTAGCTTGAAGGAGACATGTGATCATTTATCTGTCTGTCAACCCCGGTGTTGTGTCTTGTCTGGCAGTTTATGATACAGACTTTGTGCAACCTGTGCATCCTGACAGCCTGTCTTTCAGAAAGAGCTGGGAGAGGGAGGATGGGGCATGGCATGGGGGGGGGGGATTGTGGGATGGCGAGGGTTGGGAGGGTAGTGGGGTGGAGGGAGGGCGAGAGTTGGGAGGGGGGCGGATTGAGGGATGGTGAGGGTTGGGAGGGTAGTGGGTGGAGGGAGGGCGAGAGTTGGGAAGGGGGGGGGGGGGAGGAGGGATGGAGGTAGGGGGCGGAGGGAGAGCTGGGAGGGGAAGCATGGAGGTAGGGAGATCTGGGAGGGAAAGAATGAGAGCATGGCATGGGTAGGGAGGGAAATGATTAGGTGATGAGGGTTGGGAGGGTGATGGGGGTATGGATTGGGAGAGTTTATCACCGGATGTTGGGTTTATCCAGATTATCCTTCCCATATAGTCCAGATAACCGAGTTCATACAGTAGTATGTGTAAAGCACTTTGCAAAAAAAAAAAAAGGAAATTTCAGCTTGCCAACTTCAGTAATAAGAGATATAGAGTGCCACCAAAACACTACATTTTCACAACTAAAATGCATTTAAGCAAAATCTTTAGGTATCCCCCCCTAAAAGATGTGTCGTGTGACTATTTCATTATCATCTATATCTTGTTTCATACTTATGAGATGAGGAGGCACCCATCAGGAAAGAATAAAACTGAAAAATTAAATATTTGGAAAACATCTGAAAAGTGCATTTACAAATCAAAGTAATGGGGCTCATTTTCTTACCTCCATAAGCAATCTCTTTTAAAACACTAGAATTTGTAGTTGTCATACCTGATTTTCAGTAAGGGTAGCTATGTGTGAAATCAAGCGTGTATGGAGATCAGAGGCACTTGTGAAAACATCAGCAAGTTGTGCTGGAGGTAACTGCAAGAGCACTGTGAAGCTTTGTGTCCCAGCACGCTGACAACACTTGATGAACCCTTCCCACACTTTCCGCTGCTTCCACACCTAAGCAAGATAGGTTACATTATAAATTTTGACTAATCATTTTAACTGTTTTCCAATTCACTAAATTCCGAAGAATGCTTGATAATTCATAGTATATTTTGTCTCAGTCCATGCCTTCTCTTGCACAAGTGCTTTAGTCATGTTAAATGAATATTTATTTTGTATTTACAGTACAGTACTTCACTATTCTATACTTCATGTTCTAAACAAGAAATAAACCCAAAAACATATTAATTACATGTCTGGATGTAAACATTAAATTAAAATAAAATGGAATCAAACTGTAAAACAAATACTATCAGAAACAAAAAATGAAAAACACAGAAGAGCAATGCATAATCCCTAACTGGAAAATCTGATTAAGCATTACTTGTATACCTAATGACTGAATCAAAATAGTAAATGATATACACACATACTGCAAAATAGGGTCATAGACTAACCTGCCTCGAAATAAGTCGTTGAAGAACATTCATTATGAAACCAAGCAACTTTGGGTAGTGAGTTAGTGTCTGAATAACAGTTCTCATAAACAACGTTGGCAAATTTGGCTGCTCCATCAGCTGTTGGAGAACAAATGCCAGCACTTCAGCTGTGTAGATGCTACGCTCGGCAAAACATAATCCAGTGGCTGAAAAGTAGTTCCATTATGTACTAAAATAATTTATGAATAAAATACAATACAGTACATTGCTTCTTCATATACAATATATATACATTTATTTGGAAAAAAAAGTTTGCCTTTATTGTAGTTGGTTACATTCCTACCCAGTTGGAAGAACTGCTCACCAATATTTTGAGTAGATGGGGAGGGGGGAGGTTTATCTTCCCTTTATCCTTCATTGGCTATCAAATGACATGTTGACTATCATTTGCTAGCCTAACACTCCTCCCTACGAGGACCCTCGGTTAACGGTTACGTACCTGTCAGCCTATATAGGCACCCAGCAGGAGAACAGAACACCTCCTACTCCACACACTTACCACCAGTACAATCACACTAGCAAGATAACCACAGGAGTATCCCAGCGCTGTACATGACACGTTCCTCTCATGGCTTGTAATCTAACAAGTGTGTTAGACAAATTGATTCTAAATACACTCATACCCTCACTACTTCCCACGTGCATATCTTCCTCACCCTCATTTCTACATTTACCCTGATTTCATCTGCAGTTTTTCTCTCTACTGCCATTACTTTTTCCCCCCCACAATTTTGTAGCAACTTTGTCATGCTAGCAAAACTTTCAATCTAAAAATATATATAAATATATATATACTGTAAAATTACAGTAATAAACACTGCAAAATCATTTAATCCTACCTTTAATAACAGTCTTTACATCACATTTGTCACTATCAATTAGGTGAAGGGATACCAGCAAATCAACAGGGGTCAGTGGTGATGCCCCCGTATCTAGCGTCACACCCCACAGCCTGTTGAACACCTGGGGAAACAAGATATAAATTACCAATAATCTTAAGAGTCTAAAACTTACTAGCAAGTGTAATTCTTAAGAAAATTTTCTAATGGCTAATGTTAACCAAGGCAAAGTTAGATAAGTCATCGAGTGCAAATGGAATGCTCCTTTCTAAATTGGTCCTTTATCTGCTCCCATACATGTCCCTGGGATATTGTGGACCCCAGCCTGGGCCAGTGCAGAAATCTGTTCTAAACCACCATGTAAGGCCATAAAATAAGAGGATGGGAGAATCTATAGAACTCCCCATTTAGAACTGAATGACCATCAGCAATACTGTAAATCAAATAGACTGTCAAATGCTTCTCTACTACTCTTAAAAAAAAAACTTGGTTGCTAGTTGCCAGCATGGCCACTGCCGCTGTCATCATCAGCTGGCAGCATCTGCAATGTAAATTATAATCCAGCTAATGCACCTCACTTTCAACCTACTTATCTCTAGAAGACATGACACAGTGAAAGCATGGAAGAAACTGACCACCAGCTCAGAAAGGAGCGTTTCATTTACACTCAATGTTATACTTATGAAAATAGACTACTCGGTTGCCCCCTTAGATAATTATCACGTCACACACATGACAGCAGAGGAGACAAGAGCTGCAGGCCCATTCCCCCTTCAAGAAGTGGATATATACGGCCCAGAATGTAAGATATAAGCGAAAATAATATTCTTTCTTCAACGTCAACAGTATGCACATGAACTGTGTGGAATATATAACAGCTTTATGCTTCTATCCATGTTTTTGAACGTACTTCACTTCACAAAGTACATACTGTATAGACAAAAATGTTTTTTATTAAAAAATTTTGAAAGTACCTTTGATTACCAAAAATAAATATTTATGCGAATCATTGAAAACTAAATTTTTACCATTATTTTTAGTGCAAATGTAACAAAGTGCTTTATAATACAAGAAACTTAAGTATAAAAACTCTTATCATCTTGTTTTTACAAACCATAAAAAAGTGCAGCTCAACTATTCAACAAAGTACCAAGGGCTGGAGAACTTACCCTCCCACCCACTGACAAGTTCACTTCCAGGGAATTCCCACAAAGGTTAACATTTCTTACTTTCAAGCAACTATAAACTTAAGCTTTATAACTTACCTCTTTCACAACATGTGGGTTGAGCTTAATAAGTTTGGGAAGAACAGCAATCACCTCCTTTTTACTTAGGCCCGTCAGAACAGGAATAAGAAACCGAACGTCAGAGACACGGCGATTATAAAGTTCGCGAACACGGCACACCAGGGCCTCACTTGGTGGAGCTGAAAATCAAGATAAACAATCAAAACCTAGAATGAATTATACACATGTGGCAAGAACACTCACATTTTACAAAAAAAAATAAAAAGACAAGTATGTGGCACATACATGGAACCCATACCTAGTGAACCACAAAAATCACTTTCCTGAGCAGTACTCAATTATACCCTAAGACATGCTTTCACTGACCCTGGATGAGGATAGCACTGTCAGGGAAGGTCAACACTTGGACCAGAGCAGCAGGAAACTTGTCAAACTGTTCCAGCTAGGAAATACTGGTATTAGGAAGACAAAGAAAACAATCCAGTTTCAAACGCAACTAGATAGTATTTACAAAATAAAACTTAAAAGTGTTTCCTCGTGCCTTTGCAGTGCCTTTGCCAATTAATGATCCACCAAATCACTAATCCCGACCAAAAACTTGTAGCAGCATCGTCATTTCTATAAAATCTCGACCTAAGCTCATATCCTCCTATCTGGAGATTATCTACAGATAATATTGGGGCTTAGTGTTCCCGCGGCCCGGTCTTCGACCAGGTCTCCTTTTTGTTACACACACCCCAGGAAGCAGTCCGTAGCAGCTGTCTAACTCCCAGGTACCTAATTACTGCTAGGTAACAAGGGCATCAGGGTGAAAGAAACATTTTGCCCATTTGTCTTCGCCTCCACCGGGGATCAAACCCGGAACCTCAGGACTACGAATCCGAAGCGCTGTCCACCCAGCTGTCAGGCACCACTATCTTTGAAAATTAATTTCAAGGCTGAAGCGTGAGAAGCTAGCTATATGTGGTGAAATCTCCTTATAAACATTATCTGTGATGAAACAACAAGAGTGAGGGTGGACAGATATATGGAATTCTGTAAGCCTCATGTGGTTTTCCTTCGGATGTGTAGCCAAAGTTCAGTGACCTATGACTGAAAGTTTCAGATTAATAAATGATTTCTAAAACACAAGTTTTAATAGCTTTTTAATACCCTAATTATATTTCTAAACTAAATATAAAACTAAAAATATACCCTGTACTGTAATATAATAGACATCTGCTATTTGAGAAATTATTTATGATATTGGCTCTAGCTGTAAAAGCAACTCGAGCACGGGTGGACGGGTCCATTCCCTATGCACACAGCACCATGTGTGGATGACCTGGCCTTACGTGCCACATTAAAACCACAAGTTGACATTGAACGCATTTTAACAATGAGATAATTAAGAACCAAAATTTGAAATATTCAGGCACAAGCAGAAGTGGCGAGGAGAGGTATAACGTATGAGGGAAGTCAAACCATGCAACACTACATGTGAGTCAAAACACCCATTTCACTTATGTTAAAAGGAGAAATGGAGTGACTGTATACATGCAGCTCAGGCTTGGGTACAAATATTACTGGAAATATGAAATAGGTGTTAATGAAAATGAATTGAAGTGTAAACTATGTGGCATGTTAAGGGCTCACACCCTCACCCATTATGTTCTTCACTGTTCATTGATTAATGTATATAAAAACACTGAGATAGAGACTGTTCCTGAATAAATAGCCTGGATGTGTCACAACGGAAAGATTGATGATATTCTGGAGTGATATAAAAATTTTGCACCAAGAGTGTAACATTGTTGAATTGTCTGAATGTCTATTGCAAATGGTCTGTGTACCTAGTCATACACAGACTACTGTGAAATCCACTGTATTTAATATCCACTGTATTTGTGTGTATGTCTGATAACATACTTCATGTGTAAAGGAAGCAATGTTTATGACCCAGATTGTATGGTAATATGCTTATTGTTTGTGATGTGTCTATATATACATAAACCCGTTGTACTGAACGGCGTGAGAATAGCTTCAGCTACCTCATCCCTTTGTGTGTATTTAAATCTCAATAGGAATATATACACAACTCCTTAGGTGTAGTGGTTAAGACACTCGCCTGGCATTTTGCGAGCGCTTTGTCCTGGGTTCGTATCCTGGCCGGGTTATCTTGAGATGATTCCGGGGCTTTTAGTGTCCCCGCGGCCTGGTCCTCGACCAGGCCTCCACCCCCAGGAAGCAGCCTGTGACAGCTGACTAACACCCAGGTACCTAATTTACTGCTAGGTAACAGGGGCATAGGGTGAAAGAAACTCTGCCCATTGTTTCTCGCCGGCGCCTGGGATCGAACCCAGGACCACAGGATCACAAGTCCCGCGTGCTGTCCGCTCGGCCGACCGGCTCCCTTTTTTCCCTCCCAGTAAATCCTCCCAGGGAGGATTTACTGGGCGCAATCTTTAACTTTAGCCTCTGTTTAACCCAACAGTAAAATGGGTACCTGGTTGTTAAACGATTTGGCGGGATCGTATTCCGGGGAACATAGGATTAAGGACTTGACTGAAACGCTACGCGTACTAGTGGCTGTACAAGATTGTAAGAACTCTTGTATATATAAATTATAATACACTTATTTCAATTTCAACATGTTATTTTCTGCTGCCCAGTCAAAAACTTTATTGATATCTGCTTGTAGTTTATCAATGTCTTCAACAGAAGTAATTTTCATGCTGGTTTTTGCATCAACTGCAAAAGATAATATGAAGCTGTAACTTGCATTTTTGTCTATATCTGATATAAGAATAAGGAAAAGCAGTGGTGCAAGGATTGTACCCTGAGATACAGAGCTTTAAACTTGCTTTAACTCGATTTATTTGGTTGACTGTTACTCTGTGTTCTGTTCAACAGAAAATTTAATATCCACTGTCTTACTTTACCTGTTATTCCCACTGACTTCATTTAGTGTGCTAACACTCCATGGTCACATTTATGAAAGACTTTGCAAAGTCCATCATCTGCATTCTGTTTTTCTCCTAATGCCTTAAGTGATTTTGTCGTAGTGGTCAAGTAACTGTGAGAGGCATGATCTTTCTGCTCTAAATCCAAGTTGGCCTCAATTGTGGAGGTCATTGGTCTCCATGAAACTGGAGACGACTCCTGATCACTCTCTCCAAGTGTGATCAGTCTGTCTGGGTCAGAGAGTCTGGGTCCAGACTCTCTGAGTCTGGACCCAGGGCTGAGAGCATGGGCGTACTGTCAATTTCTCTTTCAAAATCTGCAGCGTTCATGTTGATATCAGTTATATTTTCATGGGTTTGGATATCACAAAGAAGTTTTCCAGATCTTCCACTTTCATGCTGTTTATTGGGGTGCTAAACATGTCCTCATACAGCTTTTTTAGAATTTCACTAATTTCTGTGTATCAACTTTCACTTGTAAGAATACATCCAATACTGACAGTGGTTTTTGCTATTGATTTCGCATATGTGAAGAAATATTTGGGGTTTTTGTTTATTTCTTATATGGCTTTCTGTTCTAATTGCATTTCTTCAATTGATATTCAACCTTCAATCTGTTGGCCTACCAAGTGAGAGCAATCGATTGAACATCTACCTAGAGTGCAGGGAGGGACATGCACCTCCCATCATGGCTGTAAAATACCAAGGTGGTACTTTCAGTAGTAAAAGTGGTTTACTACTTTACTAGTTTTAGTACTTGGTGGTACTCAGGAGCTACAGTCTTCTGGGGTTGTTCGGTTATGTTTTCCCAGCCTACAACAATTTGCATTGAAAACATCATATCATGCTTTCAGTAATATAAAAGTTAAAGAACAGAAACATTTTCTTTCAAAATTAGTTAAAACACACCTTTTTCTGTGAGAATATGGATGATTCTGGTGATGAGTGTTTCACCACCTTTAGGACAAGTCTCTACCAGTGTTAGGAGTTGTGGAGATTCCATACCCATGTGTCGAATGGGACCTTCTAGCAATCTTAGGATCGAGCGTTTTGCTTCATTCACAGTCTTCACATACACCTGGGCCAAACTAAAATATAAATCAAATACAAATATATTATTAATAACTCTAAACGTTTTGTGAAATAGTATGCATATATTTGCTTAAGGAATTTAAAAATCCTATCACTATACCTGAACAATACGGTAAAGCTTTTATAAACTGATGTAACCTACTTGCATAAATGTGCGAACAATTCTTTATAAGCTCATATGCCAAGTCCTATAGTTTGATAAATATCTTTACCAGGTACAGTACAAACTTGATTCAATGAACTGTATGGGGTCAATCCCAATTTGTTGCAGTGAGGAATTTACTGCAACAGGAGATGCTTCCAGGAGGCATTTGCACAAATGTTATTTTAAACAATAAAATGCCCCACCTGTTTCTTATAACATTGCATCCATCTATGAAAATCATTAAAAACATGATTGCAGCCATATTAACAGAGTTACCATTCATACCCAAATATTTCTCTCACTCTATTGGCTGACTTAGCAAATTTTTCCATTTCCACCTGTCACATGAAGGACAACTACCAAGAGGACCTGTCTGTAAAGAGATTTAACCACGTCTGGCATATTTCCAACGGCCTAACCTCCAACTCTTACTTTCAAAGGAAGAAGGGGGCCCATATTTTACTGAACGAAAACTTTTGCAACAGGGAAATAATAGGAACCATAAAATTTTGTTTTAAATATGCTCAATATGTTTTAATGGCAATTGTAAAAGGATTTGGGAAATTCAATGTTTACACAAAAAACATCTGTACTTAAAGAGCAAAAAAAGAGGTGGATGAGAAAAAAGTGTTAGGGGAAGCCTCCAATCTAAATGTTTAAGCGCTGAAGTAATGGTGTTCATGGAATAATTTGAGAGATCCTCAAATTATGAGACATTTTGGGAAAAAATGCTAGAAACTGAACAGGACAAGAAATAATGTTCACATTTATAGGAAAAGTTCATAAGGATCAATGGAGAAATTAGAGGAATTCCTTTTTTATAAATACAGTATAAGATTGGTGGATCTAGTGATTTCTGGGTTATCACCAAAAGGCTAAGTGTTAGGAGCCCCAATAATGCAAATCTGCCATCAGAACATGCATTTACCATGTTAATATCTGAATTCTGAAGATAATGATCAGATGAGAAAAGTCTACAGACTCAATGGCTACCTCTTTATCACTACTGACTTTATGGAAGGTGTTCTCCTTAAAGTAGGCAATGATGCTGGCCCTGACTTGCCTATGATATTCCATTCACCTCCACCAGTCATTCTGCATTGTTGGGTGAGGCTAGATCCAAGTGTCTGGCCACCAATGCTGGACAAAATTTTTTTTTTATAGATATATATATACATGTTGCATTCTAACAATGCTATACAATTCGTGCCTATTGAGTGCAAGATCTAGCTCTCAACCAGCCTCCTAGCTATTGGTGCCTGATGTGTCTAATTTCTTTTCATTTTACTTTGTAATATTTACTCCTGAGGCTGTGGATGCAGGTGGATTCCACTACCACTTTCAGTGCATTACACTAGTTGACCCCCACCTCACTGCAGCTATACTTAATTTATAAATTATAAATACTATACAGTGGTGCCTCAATTAATGAATTTAATTCGTTCCAGCACCAAGCTCGTCATGTGAAACGCTCGTCTTGCGAAACAATACCACCACTGTCCTTGGATTCGTCCAAGAACCAGCAGGAATGCTAGGAAGCACCATGTGGTTTGCTCATTAACCGAGCAAAAGCTCGTCAATTGAGACAAATTTTCTGCGAGTAGCTCGCTTGTTACTCAAAATGCTCGTAACTCGAGGTTCCACTGTATTTTAAATGTCAAATCAACACGAGATGCTCTAGTGATACTGAGTGAAAACCTGTCAGACGAAGGAAGAAACAAGAATAAAGTTATAAATCAATAAGTTATATCTGCTGGAATACCTAAAAGTAACAGCTTCAGCTAGAATTAACAACAAAATTTGGAGGCACTCACTCATGAATTAAAGACTGATTGAGAGGTAGTAGAACAAGATACAGGTACAGACAAGCTTTAACTGTTGACTCTGTCCATTCACTGGGATGATTTGGTCTGCCTAAATTCTGTGTACAGAGAGATTCTGGCGGAATCTCCAGGTAAAGATATTTAAGGTACTTGACTGCGGCTTCTGTCACAATATCACGCAGGTTCTCTTGCTCACATAACTCTAGAATTATTGGTGTCACTAGGTCACGTACCTGGAAAATTTATAAAATTATAAATATCTATTCTAGATGAACAAAATTAAATTCAATAACATTTTCCATGAACATCCATTACAATTGTTTAACACACACACCTTTATTTATTTATACACACACACACACACACATCCTGAAAATAGTATATACCAATATAGATGGAATGAGATAAAAAATATTGGAGTTGAAAGATATAATCAAGCTCAAAGTCCCAGATATTGTCGCATTAACATAGACTAAACTTGAGGAAAATATTTTAAATGAGATCGTGATCCCAAGGGGCTATTCAGTTTGGAGACGTGACAGGAAAAGTAAGAAGGGTGGAGGAGTGGCAGTGCTGGTGAAAGAACACCTGAAGGTAAGAGAATTAATGTTTGAAAACCCTAGAGATATTGACATAATGGCATTGCAGCTCTGTAATCAAGATGATAAGCTGATAATTTTAAATGCCTACAGCCCACCAGCAAGCAACACATGGACAAAGGAAGAATTGGATGACAAACGAGAGGGTTTCATAATTGTCATGAGAGAGATTATGGTAAGAGCTGACAAAGATAAATCCTGATTGTTGGTACTGGGGGACTTTAACTTTAAGGCAATAGACTGGGAGGCCTAAAGGCAAGAACAGAGGACATTTGGACAAGTAGCTTTGTAAACCTCATCTTGGAGACATTCATATATCAACACGTCAAGCAGGCCACAAGAATGAGGGAAGGGGATGTTCCGTCAGTACTGGATCTAGTGTTCACCAGGAAAGAAGAGAAGGTATTTGACATCCAGTACCTTCCTCCCTTGGGAAAGAGTGATCACGTCCTCTTGGACATTAAATACAATATGCAATATAATCTAGTAGAGAATGGGGACAGTGAAACAGTTGTTAAACTCAATTTCAAGAGAGGATGCTATGGGGAACTTAGAAATTTGCTGCTTGGGTGACACATCCAGACTATTTGTTCAGGAACAGTCCTTAAGTTAGTTTTATGGCTATGTGATTGAATGTTGTTGTGTCCCTATTATTTTCAAGCCACACAACTTACCATGTAAGTTGTGTGGCTTTTGTAATGTGTGGCCACACATTATCAACTTACCATTATATGTTGGTAATGGTTCTATGTGATGCTATTAACTTTAATTTCCTATACTGCTATCATCTTCTCTGGTCAAATGCCTTTCCACCCCCACTAATGTAGGAAATGGGGAATTTACACAGTAATGACATTTCTTTTCCTGATTTACTGCTTTATCTCTCCTGTCTTATCTAATACATATTTCCAGTTATACTCAAATAGCTATTCATAGATTTCTCACATTTGTGTTTTCATAAAAGTTTATATATTAAACATCCAAGTATTGAACATACTATCTTTTCACAGTCAATATTTTACCTAATCACTGTGCTGAAAATTGATTCCTAACTGTAAATCCCGAGATGCTTTACTCATACTTACTGACTCTTGATCATGTGTGGCAAGGAGAGAGAGTGTTTTAAGAGCTGGCTTTGATGACAACGGACGCCACTGGGCTGTGTCTTTCAGTATGTTGGCAACCACAACTATGGACTCAGAACCTTGACTTCCAACCCACAATAGGGAGGTAATCAAGTCCTCTGGTACATTTGGGCACTCTAGGAACAATCGTGATAGAAACCTAAAAAAAAAAAATACAGTAAATAATTAATAAATAGACATGCAATATTTTTGTATTGTAATACTCTATACATATAACTTACTTTCAATACACAATTAAATACAGTTATATATTACAAAATAAAAATATTGGATGTCAGTTTTTATTCATTCACAATAAATCATCATTGATAAACAAGCACCTCTACCACCACTATATTTCACCATATTTACAGAAAGTACAGTACTGTATTTGCAGAAAGCTGCTACAGAAAGTGTGTGTAGTGTTTGCAAATCTTGCTCTTGAAACTTTCCTTATTAAGACTACTCAATAGCTCGGTCGATAGAGCCTCGGCCTCACACTTGTGGGATCTACGGTTCAAGTCCCCTAGAGCCCAGGTGGATGGAATGTTTATTTCCACGGAAGTGGGGATAACAATTTATTTTACTTGCTCTCAACGACCGGGGGTTATCAGCGCCTGTGTTTGTCTTAGCTGGTTCATGCCACCGCCAACTGCCACCCACTTTTACCACCCATCCTGCTACTCATCTGCTCACTCACTGTCTCTTGACTGCCTGACATGTTTCTAGGGCTGGTGTTTCTAAAAGATTTTCCTTTCCCTTCCACTTGGGCTGGACGGTAGAGTGACGGTCTCGCTTCATGCAGGTCGGCGTTCAATTCCTGACCATCCACAAGTGGTTGGGCATCATTCCTATCCCCCCATCCCATCCCAAATCCTTATCCTGACCCCTTCCCAGTGCTATATAGTCGTAATGGCTTGGCGGTTTCCCCTGATAGTTCCTTTCCTTTCATTTCCTTCCCCTTCTCATCCCCCCCCAGCCTCCCTGTCCTATTTGACTGCCATCTATCCGGTCCCCTCCACAATCCATCCAGTTCTCCCACTATCCACCCAGTCCTCTCACCATCCATCCAGTCCCCCCACCATCCATCCAGTCCCCCATCCAACCATCCATTCATCCTGTCTCTTTCTTCACCATCCACTTCCCTCACCATCCATCCATCCAGTTCCCCCACGATCCATCCCTCCAGTTCCCTCACCATTCATCCTTCCAGTTCCCCCACCAACCATCCAGTTCCCTCACCATCCATCCCTCCAGTTCCCTCACCATCCATCCTTCCAGTTCCCCCACCAACATCCAGTCCCCTCACCATCCATCCATCCAGTTCCCTCACCATCCAATCCATCCAGTTCCCTCACCATCCAATCCATCCAGTTCCCTCATCATCCAATCCAGTTCCCTTACCATCCATCCTTCCAGTTCCCTCACCAACCATCCAGTTCCACCATTCATCCAGTCGCCTCACCATCCATCCTGTTGTCCTCCCAAATACAATATACAATATTCAACTGAGATCGTTCCTAGGTGGTGGCACTGGTAAACTGAAGCATAATTGTCCCTGCCACCTGGAGCCATGCACTCGGTCGACCCATACTTGTATCAACAAAGTCGCTAGTCAAGGCAAAGGTCTGAAGTCGAGTCTCATTTTCCAACGAAACTTACGTCGTAACTCAAAATATTCACATGTAGAGGCAGTCGTAAGTTGGGGTGCCACTAATATTACAATTTTAATTGTCTGAATACTGTATTGAATTTCCCATAAGAGACCATTGCAGCAAGGACTCACTCAGTCACAAGATTATCTCTATTAGTGGTAAGTACTAAGATTGACATTTTGCATATATGCAAGTTCATAATGATATGCACATTATCATGATATTAATAACAGTACAATCAACTGCTGTACTAATTCACAATAACAATAATATGAGTATCACTAATAATACATTCTATTACAGTATTTTAATTTTTCTATGATTTAAGGAAATGAGATTGGCTCTTCGCAGTTTCATGTGGTTGTTGGTGAACGTGATAAATATGAAAAGGGGTTTATTGTACAACTCTAAGGGATCAATATAAGCCATATATCTTAGCAATGACAAAGGTAATGAGAAAGTGCAGATTGTTTATGACTACATAGGTCTCAGGTGAGTCAAGAAAAAAAAAAAAAAATAAAAGATATAGATTTGATGATTCTTTATACAAATAAGAAATTAACATACTCATCCCTATCTTTAGAAGCATCTTTACTCAAAACTTTCATCACAATACTGCTTATAATATCTGAGTAACTCTTGTCCTTCTTGTTTTCAGTTGTAGTATCTGTATTGAAAATTTTGTTTATGTGTGAAAAGTCATGATCTGATGAATATTCGGAATAGAGCCAGGAGAAAAGAAGGTCGGCACGTTTGTGCAAGTCCTCCACAATAAAGTCTTCAAGTTCTGAAAAAATGATAAAAAAATACATATTAATACATATACAATACATACTGTACCTCCATTTATGTAAATTGTACAGTAGACATGAACACTTGAACACAAAATAAGAAACTATTCTTTCTCAAATTAAATATGCACTAAATCAAAGTACAGCAGAAGACTTACAAGACAGAATAGTACAGTGCAGTATTTACATTTAAATTTGTCCTCTTCTCTATTTTTTTAATTAAATTTTCCCTTTTGATAGTGTGTCTTCATGTATACATTTTCCTAAACATTTTAAGTATTTGGAAATATATTATTTTTTACAATTTAAATGTTTGCAAGGATTCTACAAGTCTGATTTGAAAATTTAAGAGAAGTAGTCCTTACTTGCACTAAGATACAAACATTAGTATGAAAGGTTAAAGATTACTACATCTACAGTATACCAAAGACAAATTTAAAAGGTAGTCAAAGGAGGTACACAAACATGCAGCACTGAATGTAATGTAATGCCTCATACTACTAGAGCCCCAGTGGCTCCCTGAAGCTATCTTGTTCAGACTGCACCACTCTAATGGGTCATATCAGATGCAGGAATTCTGCTTAGCCTACCAGAGACTAAAGCCAGAACCTGACACCCCCCCTTCCTCACAGAGGAACAGAGAGTGGGTGACAAATGGATTATTGGCCACCCCACCAGGAAAGCATCCAAAAAACCAACGTTGAGTGTAATTAAAACGCCATTTTCTGGGCGAGTCTCGGAGGCTCCCCGGAGCAATCCAGGCTGAATGTATATGTATAACTTTCTGGCATCAGTTAAAGTTCTTGCCTACTGGGAACCACGAGCCAGAACCTGGCCCCCCTCAGGTTCTGAGGGGGAACTACCAAGCAAACTTCTAAAGCTGAACCCCCAGGATGTGTCCACTCATGGGGCCAAGCAAGGGGGTTACCACCAAAAACACAAATATATATAAGAGAAGGACCCTAAAGATAAAGAGGGAGCAACCAACCAAAGGCAGACAACCCACCTGGCAGGAAAAAAAAAAAATAGAAAACCCTGCAAGGGAACAACATACCCAGGTGGAACAAAGCTGGCCACTAAAATAGGTGATAACTAGCTGTGCAGTACCCTGTGCCCCAACCAGTGATGAAAACTACCTCCTACTCAAAGAAAATATGGCAACAAGACCCTAGCTGACTCCAAGGGCGGCCAAGTTCCGAGCAGTAAAAGACACAGCGGAGGAAGACCCCAAGGTGACTTGTGGAAGGTGGCCCCAAGCCCCAAGGGCAGTACTTACTGGGCAACTAGGGAAGGAAATCCTAGGCGCATGCAGCCCGAGTACCATAGAATATTATTCCTGGTTCACACCACCTGTAGAGACAGACCACGCCACAAGGCACAGAAACTGAAACCAAAGCAGGAGTCAGAGCCACACGACCTGCCAGTATCACAGCCGAACCCGGGGAGGGGCTGACACCAATCCAACTTGGACAAGGTGGGGGAAAATAAAACCCCACCCCTCATAACAGTTAACCCCACTCAGAGAGCATAAAACCCCAAGCAGGGTGTTATGGGGCCTAAGACCCCCAAGTCAACCCCTCCCCCTGTCCTCGGGAACCTCCACAGCCGGATCCGGGGCCGAGCCGTCCCCCCAAAGCCCCAGCCTCACAAGAAAAAGCTGGAGCAGGCGTAAAAACATTAAGGAAGGGGGCCCACTGGTCACACTCATACGCACCAGCTGGAGGAACAGGCTCGAATGCTTCCACAACCACCCCCAGAAGGGGTATCCCCCGAGACTGCCCGAGTTTCCAACTCAAATAAAACCTGCCCCAACTTTGAAACCCTCAGATGCTTCGGAGCAGGAAGCAGGAGGGGGAAGGAGGGCCAGAACAAAGGGGAAGGAAGGGGAAGGACGAGAGGGCACAGACTGAACCAAGGTCGAAGCGACGAACACGCCCAAGTCTGGGTCCCTATAGCCAAAATGAGGCAGCCTCGGGGCTTCCAGGTCAGCAACTTAAAACTAGCATGCAACGCCTGAGCTGCCTGCACCCGAACAGTCATCAGTGGACTGGGTGTACCGAGTCACAAATAAGGAACAAAACATGCAGCACTCTGGGTCAAAGGTGTTACCGACCCAACAGGCAGCATGATGAAGGCAGAACAGGCGAGTGTCACCCTGAGACAAGGGGACAGAGCAATCTACAATCTCCCACAAAGCGAGAGGGGACACAGGGGTCGCGTCTATTGGACCACAGAGTCCCCACGGAGTTTCCCAGGGCCATTAGTCGCGTAATCTTGCTAAGGGAAGCCCAGGCAGGGTACTGCTAACCGGCACCCAAAACTACCAACCAACCTGCTAAGGCTGAACCCCCCCCCCAAGACGTGTTCACTCATGGGGCCTAGTGGAGGACCACCAAGATACAAATGGGTCTGACCAAAACCAAGAGGCAGACCCTCCACCAGGCAAGGAAACAAAAACAAAAGAAAAACTCGGCAAGAGGACAACATACCCAGGTGGAACAGAGCCGGCCGCTATGAGAGGTGAAAACTAGCTGCACTGTACCCTGCACCCCAACCAGTGACGAAAACTACCCCCTACCCCAGAGGCAAATAATGATGTATGAAACACCCCATCTGACTTCAAGGGCGGGCAATCACTGAGCAGCAAAAAACCTGTGGAAGTAGACCCCAAGGTGACTTGTGAAAGGTGGCCCCAAGAGCAGTATTTACAGGGCATCTAGGAAAGGTGACCCCTAGGCGCATGCAGCCCAAGTACTTGTGAAATTACTCCTGGGTGGCACACACCACCAGAGAATGAACACCACACCACAAGGCACAGAGCCTGAAGACAGGAAAACAAGAGCCAGAGTCACACGACCATTGCTAATAACATCAGCCAAAGAACTGGGGTGTGGATAGCAAGTGTGAGGGTCTGGGGCTCCCCTTTCCCCCCTCCCAGGGAGGGGGGTAGCTGAGCAGACAGAGCTGCAGTGACGTGGTGACGTCAGGCTCGTTTGCTCGTTTTCATCTGGGGAGTTCTGTCCACTAATTCGGCTTTCAGTAGCAATTTCTTATCCATAATTTGGGTTTGTTTTGGGGCACTTACCTTTCTGGGTGCCTGACCCAGTCGATGGCAGACAATAGAATGCTTCCAACCACACGGGGTTTCTATAGGCCATTGCTCCTCATGCCTCTTCTGAGGGGGTCAAGTTCTGGTTCTTGGTCCCCGGTAGGCCTAGAACTCCATTCACATTGACTGATGCTAAAGTCTAATACAGTATATCCATATCAGCCTGGATAGCTTCGGGAAGCCGAAGGGGCTAACCCCCAGAAAAGCCGCGCAGCACAAAGATTAACACTTTCGCACCCAAAGCGTGCGCGACGCAAATTTTGACATCATGCCCCTGGCAGTGCAAGAGATCGTGAGGGCGAGCACATGGCGACACCAAAATGTGTATACTCGTTTCAGTTTTCTCACCTTAATTCTCGTGCTATGTCGTTCATTTTGGTATCATTGTGTTCGCAATTAAATTCACTGCAGGTGTATATACATATATTGTCCAAAAGCCCAGCGTGACTCCCCTTAGCAAAGCCTAAAGTTACCCGTGAATGAGCACCATTTGGCACACCCGCAACCTAGTGTGTATACTCGTTCAGTTTGATAACATCAATTTTCATGTTACGACTTTCATTTTAGTATCAAATGGTTTGCAATATAACAGCGTGTATTTTAAAACTGGCCCCATAATAATAGAGCAATAAATGGAATTTTAACAAATATTTTAAATTTTGGATGCACATCATCAAAAAATTATTTACATCTTTCCAGTATTCTGACATCAATTTTCGTGTTACATCTTTCATTTTGGTATCAAATTGTGCGCAGTCTATAGTGCTCATTTTAAAACCACTCCCAGATTGATCGGATAAAATATAAATTTTTACCAAATATTTTAAATGATGGACACCGCTCGTGTCCATGACTCGGACTCAAGAGAACAATTATGGACCCCACGGACGTTCGAGGAGTGCAAAAGTGTTAAGGAGCTGAAGTTAGATTCATGCATTATTTATGAACATATAAATGTTGCATATTTTGTGATTGTTATCCCAGTCATCACCTCAGGGCTAACATCCTTTACTCAATAACACCAGATGCTGGACGAGTCCTCAAACTCTGTATGATAAATAAGTACTGTATCAGTAATGCACCAAATATTTGCTTATTTTTAACAATCATATTATTAAATAAATTATAATAACACATTACCTTCACATTCTTTAGTCGACATACATCCTGAGAGTACTGTAAGAATTCTTGTCCGATGCCTTGATGCATTGTCATGTGTCATCATCTTTTCGCAGCGCAAGAGCCGAAGGAGCAGTAATTGTTGCATCTTGGTGTTGGCCGCAGCAGATAATGGCTTAGTAACCTCACCCAACTTCATAGTCTTCACCTTTAGCCTCATAGCACGGCCAGCCACACCAGCTGGAACCAACACTGGCCCGGACTGAAGGTTGAAATAATCAAATTTAGCTTATCTGTTTCATCAACTATTTCAGAGAATATTAATTGACCATTTCAAATAATGGTACTTCAAGTGAACAAATCCACAGGGGCCGTGACAAGGATTCAAACCTGCGTCCGAGAGCATCCCAGATGCTGCCTTAATCAACTGAGCTACGACATGGTCAAAAGGAGTTGCCTATTGACATAGCTCGAGTGCATGGGGGGAGTTGTGTAAAACCCTGGTTTGTGCCTCAGAGAGACTGCAGGATCCAGTAAGTTCAGTAGAACTTCAGTTTCAACTCCTTTTGACCATGTCGTAGCTCAGTCGATTAAGGCAGCATCTGGGATGCTCTCGGACGCAGGTTCGAATCCTCGTTACGGCCCCTGTGGATTTGTTCATTTGATGCATCACGCAATTGTGATTTGTGTGTGTAATGGTACTTCAAGCCAATTCATAACTCTTTAGCTAATTTTTAGTTGTGCAGTACAGATACTGTATTGTGCTGCGTCAAAATAAACATAAAAATAATCATCATCAAAATAATTGTGAAAAATTATATTCACAGCAACTGCCCCCCATAGGATGTTGGGGTCGAGTGACCCCGAGCGCTCCATCACACAGTGCCCATAATTGCTCAACTTTTCAGCTCCATCATGGCTTAAGTATGTCACGTACAATATTTTTTTTTAGTTTCCCATGATCAGAGAGAACGTTTTAACAACATAAGAGAAAAAAAAATTTGCAAAGAATTTATTTTCGGCGCACAGCGAGAATGTCATGTTTTAAGGCCGCACAGCACGGTGGTTAAACAAGGGTAAGTTGGCAAATTCTTTAATGATTTTAGACATGGGTAGATGAATTTAAACAAGGGCTAAGTTACAAGAGTAACTTAGCAAATTGCTAAGTTAATTTTGCTAAGTTACCAGAGTAATTTAGAAAATTCTTTAATGAATTTAATTGGAGAAACTTCTTGATAGGCATGAAAGTAAATGAGATATATGCCAAATTCTGTGAAATATACGATGAAATCACAAAAAAATTTATACCAAAACAGAGACGCATAACTGGAAAACAATTGATTTAACAAATTGTGAGAGGGCCAGAGAGGAGAAGACAAGGAAATACTTATGTATTTTCATTATACATGGCATGTACTTATTGTCGGAAAATCCGACACCATTTAATATATCATACAGATAATAGCTGTATTACCAACAAGTTACCCATAGAAAACGTAACTTGTAGTGGAATTACCGTCTATAGAAAACGGGATATCATCACCACATACTATTATAATTCACCAGCTATTCTGCTGGGAATTATTCTTAAATACATAAGTCTTTGGACTTTACCATCATAAAAACATCTTATATAAATTAACTTAATTATCAATATTAAAGTAGAGTAAATGTGACCCTTCTATCACTTTCTGAAATCTGGACAATGTAAGCCAGGCGTCAGAGTGGAGGAAGGAGGGCAGCCATTGTTGTTTATACTAGACCAGAGGCTCACACGGGAGCAAATTCGGCTCCTGTTAAATTTACTTGGACGTAGTGTTATGGAAACCAAAGGTGTACCATTGTCAACACGCTGTCTACATATCAAGTTAAGTGTCTATCCGAAACCCGTTTATCATTCATTTATGGCCATTAATGTCAGGATATAGGGTAACCCGGTTAGATCACGTGGAAGCCTCAAACTAAAGGTAATTAAGCCAGGTCTTCATGTTCCATGTACTGTTTTCTCTGATATACTTGTCATATATAGGTATCTGGCTTCACAGCTAGCGCACTTTTGACAGGTCAAGACGAGGATGCAAGATTTGTGCACCAGTTACTGAGTGATATGGAAGCTACCTCAAAGAGGATAATTTGGTGTCTACACCCTAGTTATACCTGGTGGACTAACCTGCTGTACTATAAGATAAGGAACCTCTTCAATGTATGTAGTTAATACTGTAGTTTGATTGGCTGCATATATATATAAACTAATAAACCCCCCCTAATGTGTAGAGGATCGATTTGTGAGATTATGAGATTATTGCAGAAATACAGTCCACTTAACATTATACAAATTGCTATCGAAGTATATAAATTAACGTAAATATAAATTCATATAAATTAAATAAATATAAATCTCACAGGTCGGTTCCCACACTTATCACATAAAATTAATGATAGTTATGTGGGTGAAATATGTGAGACAGAAGCTAGCGCCGAGTACATGACATCAGGGGGGGGTTTCCTGGATTCCCGGAGGCATACACTCGGCAGGCTCAGTTGCCTCTGGACATTCAGAGAGAGCAGTTGTGCTGCACATCCCACTCTGGCAGTTTGTCATCTCTGATCACAGTTAACAGTGGTCATGTTTTTATAACATTGTTGTTATGGTACCCTCTAAGGAACTAAGCAAAGAAACAATTGCTCTGAAGTAGACAGGCCACTAAACAAAGGAAATTAGCAATGTGGTCAGTGTGGCAAGGATGACAGTCCCCCAAGTAATGTCACTACTTCCCGGCAGATCCTATGGGCCTGACGCCATTACAAAACTCATGCTCTCGTCGCCCCAGTAAGATCACTAAGGTTTGTGAACATTCTGAAACATACATTGCAGAGTATCCCACATGTTACGACAATGGTTGTGAAGGGAACAAACCCTGAAGTGCTTAGGGACATTTCAGTTCATACAGTATCTCAGCAAATTCACGAGCTAGGTTACACTAGCCACAGGCCACATAAAAACCACTCCTAACATGCACAAAGAGCTCACAGGGTTGCTTTTGCCTAGAAATACCTTATGTGGACTCAGGATGGGTCGAAAGAAAGAGATGTTGTTGTCTTGCCTATATACTGGGTTTTTTTGAGCTTACAATCCCCAAGTGGGCATTTGAAGGCATAGACGACGTTGGTCTCTTTTAAAGCGTTCTGCTTTGTGTCTGGAGAGTTTCTCATGAGTAGGTTGGCCGTTTTCTTGGTTTTATAGTAGATCGTCAATTGTATCTTCTGATTTTTGTCTGTAGGGATAACGTTTCTATTAACAATATCTTTCAGGACCCTTTCCTCCGTTTTATGAGCTGTGGAAAAGAAGTTCCTGTAAAACAGTCTAATAGGGGGTACAGGTGTTGTGTTAGTTGTCTCTTCAGAGGTTGCATAGCGTTTCACCTTCCTTCTTATGATGTCTTCAACGAAACCATTGGAGAAGCCGTTGTTGACTAGGACCTGCCTTACCCTACAGAGTTATTCATCGACTTGCTTCCATCCTGAGCTGTGGCTGAGAGCACGGTCGACATAAGCGTTAATGACACTCCTCTTGTACCTGTCTAGGCAGTCACTGTTGGCATTGAGGCACATTCCTATGTTTGTTTCCGTAGTGTAGACTGCAGTGTGGAAACCTCCGCTCCTTTCCATGACTGTTACATCTAGAAAGGGCAGCTTCCCATCCTTCTCCATCTCGTAAGTGAAACGCAACACAGAATTCCGCTCAAATGCTTCCTTCAGCTCCTGCAGATGTCTGAGTCTTTGAAGTGGGTAGAATATAGTTGTGCATTAATTGGCTGCCAATTAATGCACAACTATATTCTACCTACTTCAAGACTCCGCTCCAATATAGAAGCATCAAGAAATATAGGTCAATAGGCCCTCTGCAGTTACTTCCATTCTTACCTTCAATACCCATTGTTTCGTGTTCTATCCTGTGTTGAAAGTTTTGTTCACCTCATCCAAACCTGTTGTAACATATCACCTCACCCAAAATGTGGGTATAAAATGAAAAATGAAAGCTGTTTAAATCATTGCATAGTAAGAACTCTGTTTAGTGTTTGCACTGATTATAGTTGTGTGTGTGTAAACTAAAAGTCTTTGAAAATGTAATAAGTTATTACGAAACGCGTTCAAGTGTCGCGTCAGACTAGAAATAAAACCAGCGTTGAATGTAATGAAACGCCATTTTCTGGGTGAGTCCCGGAGGCTCCCCGGAGCTATCCCAGGCTGATATGCTAATGTCAGACTTTGGCATCAGTCATGTGTATGGAGTTCTTAGGCCTACCGGGGACCACGGCCAGAACCGGGCCCCCTCAGAGAGGCAAGGGGAGCAATGGCCTATAGAAGCCCCCGTGTAGTTGGAAGCATTCTATGTCTGCCATCGACCGGAACAGGCACCCAGAAAGGTAAGCGCCCCAAAACAAACCCCTATTCTGGTTAAAATTGCTACCTAATACCGAACTAGTGGATAGAACTCCCCAACCGAAAACAAGCAAATTAGTGTGACGTCACACACTGCCGCGCCGCTGTCTGCGCAGCTCCCCCCTCCCCGGGAGGGGGAAGGGGGAGCCCCAGACCCCCCGCACCGGCTACCCACACCTCAGTTCTTGAGGCTGGATGTCAAAAACGCGAAAAAACCGCCGACCGGAGGGAGGGAGGGATGCCGGGGAGCCTCCGGGACTCACCCAGAAAATGGCGTTTCATTACATTCAACGCTGGTTTTCTGGGGGGAGCCCCGTCGGCTCCCCGGAGCTAACTACCCACAGACAGAAAAAGAGGGACTTACCCGGGAGGCGGTCGTCGCTCACCCCTCAACTCGAAGCCGAGACAACTGGCTGCAACCGCCGACCCAAAGCAACACAGGCCCGACGAGGGCCAGGGACATTCACAAGGTAACGAGCAGCCAGGACCCTGTTCGACCGCCAAAATCCCCGCGCCCGAAGATCAGACCAAGACATATTCCCAAAGATGGCAGCAAGAGCAGCGAACTTACGAACGTCATGGGCCCGGGGACAGACAGCAGGCTGGCTAGACTTAATAACCCTGCGGACGACCTGAGAGACCCGTACCCGCGAACAGGGAAGAAGGGAAACGGGATCAACCCAAAGCACGTCCCCAGACACAGAAGCTGTGGCACGCAAATAACGGCGGAGGTCCGCAACCGGATACAAGACATGATGCACCCCCGGCCTGACCAACTAAGCATCAACAACCCAAGGACCCCTCCGGAAAGCAGCAGTC